GAGTTATTTTTCACTTAAAAAAATTATTATTATTTTTGAGCCAAGTGCCATGGCTCACCCCTGTAATCCTAGCACTTTGGGAGGCCAAGGTGGGTGGATCACCTGAGGTCAGGAGTTCGAGACCAGGCTGGCCAACATGGTGAAACGCCATCTCTACTAAAAATACAAAAAATTAGCCGGGCATGGTATGGATGTCTGTAATCCCAGCTACTCGGGAGCCTGAGGACAGGAGAATTACAAGAACCTGGGAGGTGGAGGTTGCAGTGAGCCAAGATCATGCCACTGCACTCCAGCCTGGGTGGCAAGAATGCACCTGTGTAGTCTCAGCTTCTTGGGAGGCTGAGGCAGGATCCCTTGAGACCAAGAGTTCAAAACCGAGATATGCTATTATGTCACCTGTGAATAGCCACTACATTTCAGCTTGGGCAACATAGTGACACCTTTTTTCTAAAAAGAATAAAAAAAATTACTTCTATTAATGTGTAGATTGAATTGTATTCTTGAAAAAGATATGTTCGAGTCTTAACCCCTGCTACCTATGCATTGTGACCTTATTTGAAAATAGAGTGCTTGCAAATGCAATCAAGTTAAATAAAATGAGTTTATACTGGGAATAGGGTGGGCCTTAATCCAAAGACTGATGTCCTTATAAGAAAGAGGGAAATCACAGAAATAAGAATACTATGTGAAGATGAGGCAGAGATTGGCATGGTGGATCTATAAACCAAGGATTGCTGCCAACCACCAGATCCAGGAGAGAGGCAGGGAACACATCCTTTCTTATAGCATTCAAAAGGAGCATGGCCCTGTGGACACCTTGATTTCAGACTTCTGTCTTCCAGAACTGTGAGAGAATGCACTTCTGTTCTTTAAAGCCAAACACTGATACTTTTTTTACATCAGTCCTAGGGATCTAGGATCTAATATAATATGTAATGGGCTCATTATTGTTATGTAAAAATGAATCAGGCCAGGCACAGTGGCTCATGCCTGTAATAGCAGCACTTTGGGAGGCTGAGGAAGGTGTGATATGAAGTCAGGAGTTCGAGACCAGCCTGGCCAACATGGTGAAACCCTGTTTCTATTAAAAATACAAAAATTAGCTGGGCGGGGTGGTGGGCGTCTGGAATCCCAGCTACTTAGGAGGCTGAGGCAGGAAAATCACTTAAACTCAGGAGGTGGAGGTTACAGTGAGCTGAGATTGCACTATTGCACTCCAGCCTGGGCAACAAGTGAGGAACTCTGTCTTAAAAAGAAACAAAAAACAGGTGGTTGGCGGAGGCGGGGGGGCGGGGAGAAAAAAATCAATACATATTTTAACTATTTCTCAGTTTTAATTTGGTAATATTGATATATACAACCCACACACACAAATGGTCTTTAAGGTAATCAAGGTTTTTTTTTTTTTTTTTTTTTTTTGAGACAGAGTCTAGCTCTGTCACCCAGGATGGCTAGCAATGGTGCCGTCTCAGCTCACTGCAACCTCCACCTCCCAGGTTCAAGCGATTCTCCTGCCTCAGCCTCCCAAGTAACTTGGATTACAAGTGCCTGCCACCACACTCAACTAATTTTTTCTACTTTTAGTAGAGATGGGGTTTCACCATGTTGGCCAGGCTGGTCTTGAACTCCTGACCTCATGATCAAGGTCCTCAAGTTTTAAGAGTATTGACTTTTTCTAGCTTCTTGTATGTGAAGTGGCATAAAAGAAGAAGAAAAAAGAGGATAAACTTTTTCATTCTTAGATGAAAAAGTTTGGGAACCACCGTCCAAGATTCTCTCCCTTTCCTACTCTCCTCAAAATCTCACCCATGCCTATAACATCAATTACCATCTAAACACTAGTGATTATGAGTTTTTATCTCCTGCTCAGACCTCTGCTCTGAGCCTCCAACTCCCATCTGACTGTGTAGTTTTAGACATATAAAAATCTGTATGTGCCAGACTAGACTTGTAATCTATCCTCTCACACTGGTTTTCTTCCAGGCTTCTCTATCTCTTTGAAGAGTACCACCTCACCCCTCAACCCATCATCATCCTATCACCTGTATTATCTCTGAAATCCATTCAGAATTCTCTATATCCACTGCCCCCATCCTAGTTTTAGCTATCATCATTTTTCACCTAACCACATTCATGACCTTCTAGTTGAAACATTTGCATGGACTACAGGCCCCCTTCAATGGTTCTTCTCACTGCAGCCAGAGTGATCGACAATCTTTTTTTTTTTTTAAGCTCTGTGATACATGTGCAGAACGTGCAGGTTTATTACATAGGGATACACGTGCCATAGTTGCTTGCTGCACCCATCAACCCATTATCTAGGTTTTAAGCCCTGCATGTATTAGATATTTGTCCTAATCCTAAATTTGTCCTAAATACATCTTAAAATATATTTAAGATACATGTTAAATCAATGGAGAAAAACCTTTAATGTCTTCATATAGCTCTTTGCATAGAGACTAAAATCCTACAGGACCCTGCATAACTTAGTTATAGCACTTTATTCCAAATTTTACTGAACAAGTTAAACTCTAATAAATTTCTTCATAATGCAGCTAAACCCATTTCCACTTTCATACTAATCGTTAACTAATTTTCTTGGGATCGATTCTCATCCCTCTTAATTTTATATTTTGAGTTTTCTTTGAAAATCTTTACCTGATTTTTGTAGGTCAAATTTACAGATCTAAATTATGTCGTTTTGATGCATCTATCAATTTTTTAGTCAACATCAGTTTATTTTATTTATTATTTAGAGACGGAGTCTTGCTCTGTCACCCAGGTTGGAGTGCATTGGTGCCATCTTGGCTCACTGTAACCTCTGCCTCCTGGGTTCAAGCGATTCTACTGCCTCAGGCTCCAAGTATCTGGGATTACAGATGCCTGCCACCAAGCCTTGCTAATTTTTGTATTTTTAGTAGAGACGAGGTTTCACCATGTTGGTCAGGCTGGTCTTGAACTCTCAACCTCGGGATCCACCCCCCTAGGCCTCCCAGAGTGCTAGGATTACAGGCATGAGCCACTGCACCCAGATATTTTTATTTATTTTTTATAGACAGGGCCTTGCTCTGTCACCCAGGTTAAAATGCTGTAGTACAACCACAGCTCAGTGCAGCCTTAAACTCCTGGGTGCAAGTGATCCTCCTGCCTCAGTCTCTTGAGTAGCTGGCAGTACAGGCACACATGACTGTGCCCTGCTATGCCTAATTTTTTTTTTTTTAATCTTTTTGAGATGGAGTTCCCGTCTGTTGCCTAGGCTGGAGTAATGACACGATCTTGGCTCACTGAAACCTCCAGCTCCTGGGTTCAAGCAATTTTCTTGCATCAGCCCCTCGAGTAGCTGGGATTACAGGCATCTGCCACCATGCCCAGCTGACTTTTGTATTTTTAGTAGAGATGGGGTTTCATCTTGTTGGCCAGGCTGGTCTTGAACTCCTGACCTCAAGTGATCCAGCACCTTGGTCTCCCGAATTGCTGGGCATGAGCCACTGTGCTCGGCCACTTTTTAGATTTTTTTTCTATCAGTGCTGTCTAATAGTTACTAGTTACATGTGGCTATTTCCATTAAATTTTACCATTGAATTTTAAAAAAATAAAAATTTCAGGCTGGGCAGAGTGGCTCATGCCTGTAACCCCAGCACTTTGGGAGTCCAAGGTGGGCGGATCACCTGACATTTGAGACCAGCCTGACCAACATGAAAAAACCCCATATCTACTAACAAAATACAGAATTAGCAGGAAATGGTGGCGCATGCCTGCAATCCCAGCTACTTGGGAGGCTGAGGCAGGAGAATCACTTGAACCTGGGAGACAGAGGTTGCAGTAAGTCGGTATCACGCCATTGCACTCCAGCCTGGGCATCAAGAGCAAAACTGTCTCAAAAAACAAAACTTCAGTACCTCAGTTATGATTGCCTCATTTCACATGATCAATAGCCACATGTGACTAATGACTACTGTACTGAGTAAATGGAGTACCTTTCTGTCATTGTATAAAATTATATTGAACAGTGCTGTTTTGTACCCTTATTAATGGTTGCTCACAGGACTTGTTATCTCAGTTTTCTTGGGCTACTATAAAAGAATACCATAATTTGGTGGCTCCGACAGAGATATTTCTCACAGTTCTGGAGCTGGGGAGTCCACAATCCAGGTGCTAGCCCATTCAATTCCTGGCTTATAATTCATACCATCATTGGTTTCCTAGGATTCTACCTATAAGAATGTTCCCAGATTAGGTTATCTTACTGCAAAGTGGCCAAATAATGACCTTTTTCTCCTTTGTCTTATTTACCATAATCTTTCCTCACACTTCCAAACCCAGTTACTATTATAGGAGACTCTACCCAAGACTCCCATTCCCAGTCTAACCAAATCTCTAGATTTTGTTTGCAGTATATTTATTTACAAGTGTAAATGTAATCACATTCAATACTGATCAACATTGAGATGATTATGGTCTGTCAGAATGTTTATTTCCCTCAGATCACACATATTTGGGGAAAAATTTGGTCATTTTTATAGAGATACTGATACTGTTCTGCTAGAGCGTCCCTTGGTTATTTCTGTCTTTGCTTAGGGCATAATAACTAATAGGGAACATATACACTAAGTTCAAGTTTGGGTATATTAACCAAATGTGACATGTGTCTACTGTATTTACTTTTTTTTTTTTTTTGAGACGGAGTTTCGCTCTTGTTACCCAGACTGGAGTGCAATGCCGTGATCTCGACTCACCGCAACCTCCGCCTCCTTGGGTTCAAGCAATTCTCCGGCCTCAGCCTCCGGAGTAGCTGGGACTACAGGCGCGCGCCACCATGCCCAGGTAATTTTTGTATTTTTAGTAGACGGTGCTTCACCATGTTGACCAGGATGGTCTCAACCTCCTGACCTTGTGATCCACCCGCCTCAGCCTCCCAAAGTGCTGGGATTATAGGCGTGAGCCACTGCGCCCGGACTACTGTATTTACAATAATACCTCTTAAAAAAAAGCACAAATGATTAGCTTTTTAAATAGACTTTTATTGTGAAATATAAAATATTTGGAAATGATTTTTAAAATTTCAATTAGTGTTAACAATTCAATTATCTTTATGAGAGAAAGCACCACATTAAAAAATACATTCAAAGAAGTAATCTACAACGCACATGCTAAAATGACTTAACAATAATGACATTAACAAATCATGAAATTCAGAAGCTTCTTCTAATTACAGATCTAAATTAGGGGTCTCAAACTTAGAGGTCTTCATGGCTGAGGAGGAACTACAAAGTAGAGAAGCTGCCTGGTACAAGAGGGAAGTCCAGTAGGCTGTGGCAAACTGGGGAATGCATGCCCAACTGAAAGACTCTAACATTTTATGTAGTACCTAATCCTCAAAATGGCAGACAATGGCAGACTGCACTTCTTTGAGATTATATATGAGACCACTTAAGCTACCATTTTGAGGGGAATATATTACAAAATTCTAAGAAAAGGTATTTTGCACTTCAAATGTATCAACTGAGGTAGTTTTAGGGATATATTCTTAAAACATCTGATTAAGAGATGAAATTTTAAAAATACCTTCTTTCACATTTTATTTGGGAAAAATCAGTTATGCCTAAGAGTTAATTAAAACCAAATCAAAATTTCATTTTTTTTACCAACAGAAATTCACATGCCATAGTACATTATTGCTTAGTAAGAAATATTTATGTGAACAATAATAAAGTATTGGTTTTACTAAAACCATTGTTCAAAAAGCATTCAATCATATAACCTCACAATATATGTAAGAAAATTGTAATTCAGTTAACAAGTTTAAAGAGTATTTTGTGAAAGAACTTTAGTAGATTTTGTACTTTCAGTTAAAACTAAAGGTTTTCTTCTGAACATGCAGAATTGCTTATAGCTCAAAGAGATGTACAGTGTTGTCTTGTTGTGCCAAAGTAATTTGAAAGAAGTTACTACTTTGTCTACTCTCAATAACTTCACATTAGTAATTTTTAAATGTTTGTAAAAAATCAAGATAGAGCCATTAGAGTGACAAATGAAATCTCCTTTAAAAAGACTGCAAAGGTGCTGGGTGTGGTGGCTCACACCTGTAATCCAACACTTTGGGAGGCCAAGGTAGGTGAATCACTTGAGGTCAGGAGTCCAAGACCAGCCTGGCCATCATGGTGAAACCCCATCTTTATTTAAAAAAAAAAAAAAAGAAAGAAGAAGAAGAAAAAAAAGACTGCAAAGGCACATAATAATTCAAATATCTTTACTAAGCTAAGATTATCTATTTTCTAAGATTAACATTTTAGTTGTCAGCTAGAGAAGTTTAACATAAAAAGCAAGCACCAAACCTAGCCATTTAACACCCCCCAAAAAGAGTTAATAGCTGTTACATAAAACTTTATTTTCTGTAAAATAAACTTTATATGGGACAAATCAATTGCATATGTGTCTATTAAATTCTGAAATTAAAAAGCCAAAGCTGGTAAGTCTTTGGGCAGTTAGATGGTTAGCAATCCAAAGAGTATGCATATAAAAAAATAATTTAAAAAATGAAAAGAAAACTTCAGTCCAGGTGTGGTGGCTCATGCCTATAATCCCAGCACTTTGGGAAACTGAAGCAGTTGGATCACTTGAGGTCAGGAGTTTAAGACCAGCCTGGCCAACATGATGAAATCCCATCTCTACTACCATACAAAAATCAGCTGGGCGTGGTGGCAGGCACCTGTAATCCCAGCTACTCAGGAGGCTGAGGCAGAAAAACCACTTGAACCTGAGAGGCAGGGGTTGCAGTGTGCTGAGATGCCACTGCACTCCAGCCTGGGCAACAGAGTGATACCCTGTCTCAAAAAAAAAAAAAAAATATGTCAAACACAGTATCCATCAGTTAATGCAACAGGTCTCCCAGTGTTTCCATTTTTTGTGAATTAAAACTTTTTTAGTAGGGGAAAATAAGTTTGGCATTTTGTTTTGTTTTGTTTGAGACAGAGTCTTGCTCTGTCTCCCAGGCTGGAGTGCAGTGGCACAATCTCGGCTTCACCACAACTTCTGCCTTCTGGGTTGAAGCAATTCTCCTGTCTCAGCTGCTGAGTAGCTGGGACTATAGGTCCCAGCCACCATGCCCGGCTAATTTTTGTTTTTTTGAGATGGAGTCTTGCTCTATTGCCCAGGCTGGATTGCAGTGGCACGATCTTGGCTCACTGCAATCTCTACGTCCCAGGTTCAAGCAATTCTCCTGCCTCAGACTCCTGGGTAGCTGAGATTACAGGCATACACCACAATGCCTGGTTAATTTTTTTGTATTTTTAGTAGAGATGAGGTTTCACCATGTTGGCCTCACTGGTCTTGAACTCTGGACCTCAAGTGATCCGCCTGCCTCAGCCTCTCAAAATGCTGGCATTACAGGTGTGAGCCACCACACCTGGCTAATTTTTGTACTTCTAATAGAGATGGGTTTCATCATATTGGCCAGGATGGTCTCAAACTCCTGACCTTGTGATCCACCTGCCTTGGCCTCCCAATGTGCTGGGATTACAGGCGTGAGTGACTGCGTCCAGCCTATTGGCATTTTTTTAAAACCCTAATCTTTGGTAAAGTTTTAAATTCTAGTAAAGTCTAATGCTTTTTATCTGCAGAACATTCACTTTGATCATTATTATTTTTTGAGATGGGAGTTTTGCTCTTGTTGTCCAGCCTGGACTGCAATGGTGTGAGTTTGGCGAACCACAACCTCTGCCTCCTGGGTTCGAGCAATTCTCCTGATTCATCCTCCCGAGTAGCTGGGATTACAGGCATGCACCACCACACCCAGCTCATTTTGTATTTTTAGTAGAGATGGGGTTTCTCCATTTTCGTCAGGCTGGTGGTCTCGAACTCCCAACCTCAGGTGATTCACCTGCCTCGGCCTCCTAAAGTGTTGGGATTACAGGTGTGAGCCACTGTACCAGCTATTCACTTTGATTATTAAAAGCACTTACATTCAAATAGAGGTACATGTGAAAAGAAAAAAAAGTAAAAGAAATGCACTTATCTATGAAGCTATCAGGATACTTTAGAATTCAAAGTTAACACTGATTTTATACATCACAAGGATTTATTTCCACAGCAGAAAATTGGCTGAAGTTGAACACAAGACTATGAATTCACCATACATTCAAAAAAGAAATAAACATGTTTCTCAAATCAAGTCAATAGTGAAATGTTATAAGGGTACAAGGTAAATGCTGATATATTAAAATCTTGGTTTGATTTAGAAATTTTATTAAAAACCAGAAGGGTTTCTATGAATAAATTTATTTAAATTATTCATGATTAAAAATTTAGTTTTTATAAATAGTAACAACAGACTACTGACTATATGGGATTCTAATAAACAATAATAAAAATACCTTAACATTATTTACTTCAAATACTGTCTTCAAATGATACAAATGTATTCAAAATTTATCGTTAACTGATCTGTAACAATGAATTCCAGACTACATTGATAGGAATCAGATATGTTGGTGCTGTCTGCTTGTCTTTCACATCATCATAGGATGAAGCTTCCTTTTGTAAGAAACATCATGGCCACACTGGTTACATATGATGATCCAATTAGTTAGCGTATTTATGGAGAAAGCGTTCAAATGCATCATAGATGGCTTGTCTAAAATTAGATATGAAAGAAAAACTCTTCAGTAACTAGCAAAAAGCGGGGACGGACAATGCCTTTACTGTAAGTTATTTCGAAATTTATCTGGGACTTGCAGCCTGATCTTGTCTCTAAATAGCTATGAAATAGGCAGTTATCCTCCTCAGAAGGTGTGTTTGAATCCATGTACCTTTTTTCTTTTTCTTTTGAGACAGGGTCTCGCTGTGTCACCCAGGCTGGAGTGCAGTGGCATGATCTCTGCTCACTGCAACCTCTGCTTCTCTGTTCAAGTAATTCTCATGCCTCAGCCCCCCATTTAGCTAGAATTACAGGCATGTACTACTATACCCTGCTAATTTTTTATATTTTCAGTAGAGATGGGGTTTCACCATGTTGGACAGGCTGGCCTCAAATTCCTGGCCTCAAGTGATCCGCCCGCTTCAGATGCATGCAACCTTACCACCACTACTAGAAAACCACAAATATACTTCCAACTTATGATAGATCTAGAAGCATTATCTTTTTCTGAAGCACTTTTTTTGTGCCTTAGTATATATTTTATACACACATACACCACACACACACACAGAGATATATGTGTGTGTACAAAATAAATTATGAAAGAAAAAGGAACTGAGTTTTTGTCTTCTTATCACTTTGTTGAAATTATGTAACTTTTCAGAATATGACAGTCTGTTTCACACATTATGATACAGATGTTTTTCATTTCCTATGAACATGTTCCTAGCTCCTTAAAAGCCTTGGTTTCCTACATTAACTTCACCGAGTATTTTAATATTTCAGTTGAAAAGGAATAGACCAATTTCATCTTATGTAAGATTTTTTTCTTCTCTTTTTTTAGAGACAAGATCTCACGATGTTGCCTAGGCTTGAGTGCAGTGGTTACTCTCAGGTGCAATCATAGCACACCACAGCCTCAAACTCTGGCATCAAGCTATCTTACCTCAGCCTGTTGAATATCTGGAACTACAGTCCTGTGCCCCACTCATATTTTTTTCTAAAGCAGTTTTTTTCTTTTCTTTTTTTTTTTTTTTGAGACGGAGTTTCGCTCTTGTTACCCAGGCTGGAGTGCAATGGCGCGATCTCGGCTCCCGCAACCTCCACCTCCTGGGTTCAGGCAATTCTCCTGCCTCAGCCTCCTGAGTAGCTGAAATTACAGGCACACGCCACCGTGCCCAGCTAATTTTTGTGTTTTTAGTAGAGATAGGGTTTCATCATGTTGGCCAGGCTGGTCTTGAACTCCTGGCCTCAGCTGATTCACCCACCTCGGCCTTCCAAAGTGCTGGGATTACACGCATGAGCCACTGCATCCGGTCCCTAAAGCTGTTTTTTTTTCTATTGTATAATACATTTTCATAGCAGAATATTCAGAAAATCTAAAATATAGGATGGAGAAAACATCATAATCCCATCACTTGCATCTACTGTTAATCTTTTCATATCTTTCCTCCAGGCTTTTAAGAAAACGCATATCTAGACCAGGTGCGGTGCCTCACACCTGTAATCCCAGCACTCCGGAAGGTGGAGCTGGTCAGATCACAAGGTCAGGAGTTCGAGACTAGCCTGGTCAAATGGTGAGACCCCCCATCTCTACTAAAAATACAAAAATTAGCTGCATGTGGTGGTGCATGCCTGTAATCTCAACTACTCAGGAGGCTGAGGCAGGAGAATTGCTTGAACCTGGGAGGCAGAGGATTCAGTGAGCTGAGACTGCACCAGTGTACTCCAGCCTGGGTGACAGAGTGAGACTATGGTTCAAAAAAAAAAAAAGAGCATGTCTATATTTTCACCCAGTTTAAATAACTATGAAATGTTAATTTTGTATCCCAGTTGTTCAACTAAGCATTTCCTCACATCCTAACAAAGATTAAGATTATCTTTAAAATACATAGCTTGCTAATATTGTTTCCAGTACGTTGGGAAGACATAGTTTTCCATCATGCTTGTCTTTCTTTAGCTCAAGGATTTGTTCCTTGTGAATTATACTGAACCCCCAAGAAGGGAAAAAAATTAGAGGTGGATATTTGCATGTTGGTGTAAACACATAGAGAGATTTTTTTTTGAAGACAGATATGACAGCAGAAGGGGAGAAGTAAAGAAATCTCTGAAATTATTGACCACTGGCTAATTTTTTCCCTCAGTTCCAGGCACTTGCTCTTGTGGAATGAACCTGACTTTGTTTACTTTCTGATGCTAAAGTTACAATCTGGGCTTGTATACATGATATAAGAAGGGTTAGGAAGACTACATGTCCCTTTTTAATCATTTGAATAGTCTCTTATTCACATGTATTATCAATAATCTCTAAATAACACAAAATATTAGAGCACATAAAGGAATGGCTTTATTGATGGATTGACTGAGATGGAGTCTCGCTCTGTTGCCCAGGCTGGAGTGCAGTGGTGTGATCTCAGCTCACTGCAACCTCCACCTCCCGGGTTTAAGCAATTCTCCTGACCCAGCCTCCCAAGTAACTGGGACTACAGGCACTTGCCACCACACCCAGATAATTTTTGTACTTTTAGCATAGTTGGGGTTTCACCATAGTGGCCAGGCTCGTCTCAAACTCCTGACCTTGTGATCCACTCACCTCAGCCTCCCAAAGTGCTGGAATTACAGATGTGAGCCACCATGCCCGGTGGCTTCTTTTATTTTTATGTTTGGTGTGTGAAAAGACTGAATTTTTAATAATTCTACTATTCCAATGTCATCTAAACTCTGTTAAGTTTTTTTTTTTTCAAACACGGATCATAAGAAACAATCTTTTAAGTTTTGAAGTGACAGATGGGGAATGGATGAGGCCAAATAGCTTAGTAGTGACTCCACTTGAGCAAGTTTCTTAACGTTTTTTGTTCCCTTTATTCTGTGTAAAGGGGATAATAACAGAGCAATTGCCCTAGCATCTGGCACATGATAATAGTTAACATTTATCTCTCTCAAATGAAGCCTTCATAATAGCACTTTTGAGTTTTTATATCTGACTTAGATTATAAATCTCTTCTAATACTTCTTAACTATACTCTGACTTAGGTACACCAAAGAGTGAAAAATTTTATACTAATTTACTAATGCAAGCATGTAGGTCCTCTGTATTTGCACATACAATAAAACTTTAGACTCTTCTTAAGCAACCCTAGCAACCCCAGGTAGTCACAGATTTTTGTTTATTTAAGTTTTGTTGTGCCAGAGGGTCAATGAGTATTGGATAGTCTGCTCACTCACCAACAGGGACTCAAATGCTGAATAAATACTTTTTAAAATACCACACTATTAAAGAAAGGTTTGGCCAGGGGAGGTGACTCATGCCTGTAATCCCAGCACTTTGGGAGGCCAGGGAAGGTGGATCACCTGAGGTCAGGAGTTCAAGACCAGCCCGACCAACGTGGAGAAACCCTATGTCTACTAAAAATGCAAAATTAGCTGGGTGTGGTGGTGCATGCCTGTAATCCCAGCTACTCAGGAGGCTGAGGCAGAAGAATCACTTCAACCGGGGAGGCAGAGGTTTCGGTGAGCTGATCATGCCATTGCACTCCAGCCTGGGCAACAAGAGTGAAACTCTGCCTCAAAAAAAAAAAAAAAAAGAAGAAAGGTTTACTATATCCTTTAAGACATGACAGACTTTTAGAATTTGTCTATTTCTCAAAAAGGTGACATTTAATAAGTTGAGCTAGAGAAGTAACAACATACAAAAATTATTTCTTACATTAACAAGAGCTAAAACATGTCAAACATATCACATACAATTCCTCTATTATATAGCTATGTAGTTGGCAGGTTTTTTTTGAACGCTTATGTACAGGGCACTGATCTAAGCATTTATGTGAACTAATTTATGTAACCATTAATAACATATAAATGCTGGGCGTAGTGGCTCACACCCGTAATCCTAGCACTTTGGGAGGCCAAGGTGGGTGGATCACCTGAGGTCAGGAGTTCAAGACCAGCCTGGCCATCATGGAGAAACCCCATCTTTAAAAAAAAAAAAAAAGAAAGAAATATAATAACATAAAAATGTTCCAATAATAATGCAGAAAACCAGAAAATTATAGTTTTGGCATAAAAGTTTTTTATAAATTCTAACTAAAATAGTGGAATCATATTAGGTTAACATTAAAACCACTTCTCATTTAAGGTTCAATATTCACTTGCTAACTGAAAAACATTGCTAAATTTTCCCATGGATGTTCAGGCCATTCTGAGAGAACATCAGAATAGAGTGAAAAACCTCTTGATGCACCAAAGCAACTTTAACAAGCCATAATCTTCTTTCTCACATCCTAAAATACCTGGCCAGTAATATTTGAAGAGGGTAAAACTGCACAATAAAGCATGCCTATGATAAGCATCATGTCTAGTTCTCTAGGAGAAAAAGAAAATAAGAGGATGAAATTTTATGAAAGAGAGAAAAATAACTCAATGTGAGATTTGTGGGAGGTGAGGAGGAAATTCGAAGATTGAAACAGACAATAAAAATATCTATTTGTTGAAGCAAAAAAATCCAGAAAACAAACAACAAATGAACAAATACCTGTTTAGACTAGTCATCTTACCTGAAGAGTCCTTGTTTAAAAAGATAAGCACTAATATGACCCCCTTCTAGGTATCGAATTTCACAACCAGGCCAAATTTCTTGTAAACTTCGAACTCCTGTTCGTGGAATATAGGCATCTTCTTTGGCTTGAACCACTATAATGAGGCTTGGGTCAACTGGAACTAGGTATAGGATTTTTAAAAAATTCAACATATACACATTAGAAAATAAAAAACACCACACAATGCAGTAAATGAAACATTTGTCAAACTAAAAATTTTTGATTAAGTTAAAAATCAACTATAATGTGCCACATTGCTCATCTCCAGTATAATGAGATCAATATTCTACAGATGATACAAAATCCACTGTGGTTTTAAAAAATTAATTAATTTCTTTTGTGTGTGTGTGTGTGTGTACACAGTAGGTATATATATTTATGGGTTACATACATTGATATAGGCATGTAATGCATAATAATCACATCCAGGTACATGGGGTATGCATTGCCTCAGTTTATTTATTTATTTTTTTGAGATGGAGTTTTGCTCGTTACCCAGGCTGGAGTGCAATGGCGCGATCTCGGCTCACCGTAACCTCCACCTCCTGGGTTCAGGCAATTCTCCTGCCTCAGCCTCCTGAGTAGCTGGGATTACAGGCACGCACCACCATGCCCAGCTAATTTTTTGTATTTTTATTAGAGATGGGGTTTCACCATGTTGACCAGGATGGTCTTGATCTCTTGACCTCGTGATCCACTCGCCTCAGCCTCCCAAAGTGCTGGGATTACAGGCGTGAGCCACCGCACCCGGCCCCTGTAATTTATTTAAAGATGGGATCTCACTATGTTGCCAAGGCTGAAGTGCAGTGGCTATTCACTGGCATGATCATAATACACTACAGTCTTGAACTCTTGGGTTCAAGTGATCCTCCCTCCTTAACTTCCTGAGTAGCCGGGACTACAGGTGAATGCCACCACACTCAGCAATCCAGTGTGATTTTTTGTTTTAGAGACAAGAGTCTCACTTTGTCATAGAGGCTAGGGTGCAGTGGTGCAATCATAGCTCACTGCCACCTTGAATTCCCAGACTCAAGGGATCCTCCTGCCTCAGCCTCTGAGTAGCTGGGACTATAGGCATGTGCCATCGTACCCAATTAGTTTTTTTTTTTTTTGAGACAGAGTCTCACTCTGTCACCCAGGCTGGAGTGCAGTAGCATGATCTCTGCCCACTGCAACCTCCATCTCCTGGGTTCAAGCGATTGTCCTGCCTCAGCCTCCTGAGTAGCTGAGATTAGAGGCACATACCATTATACCTGGCTAATTTTTTATATTTTTGGTAGAGACGGGGTTTCACCATGTTGGCCAGGCTTGATCTCAAACTACGTGATCCACCCACCTGAGCCAGAGTGCTGGGATTACAGGTGTGCACCCTGGGACTGGCCATCTAGCTAATTTTTACATTTTTTTGTAGGGACAGGGTCTCACTATGTTGCCTGGGCTGGTGTTGAACTCCTGGGCTTAAGCGATCCTCCCACCGCAGCCTCCCAAAATGCTAGGATTACAGGTGTGAGCTACTGTGCTCAGCTCCAGAGAGAGAGAGAGAGAGAGAGAGAGAGAGAGAGAGAGAGGAGTGTGTGTGTGTGTTTGAGAAAGAGTCTCACTCTGTCACCAACGATGGAGTGCAGTGGTGTGATCTTGGCTCACAGCAAACTGTTTACTTGGGCTGAAGCCATCCTTCCACTTCAGTCTTCCAAGTAGCTGGAACTACAGGCAGGCACCAACACACATAACTACCGTTGCGTATTTTTTTTTGGTAGAGACAAGGTTTCACCATGTTACCCAGGCTGGTCTTAAACTCCTGGGCTCAAGCAATCCACCTGCCTCAGCCTCCCAAAATGCTGGGATTACAGACATGAGCCACCACACCTGGCTGTCCCATGTGTTTTTTAATGATTAAGATAGTCTTAAATTTTCATAGCTAGAATATGATACATTTAAGTAACCAACTTTTCTTTGCACATATATTCTAGAGCCAACAAAAAAAAATACCTTTGAAAATATAAAATCTTATAAAGCATTCTTTAAAATATTTCACAAATATTTACACATCAGCAAATGTTCTCAATTTCATATAAAAATTAGTACCTGAGAAATTTGCAACATGAGTACATTCATCCATGACTCCTTTCATAAATATTAAAGATTCTTTCCGAAGACTGTTTCTTCTTTGTTCTTTACTAAGAAGGTGGTATGACTGAGGGTTGCAACTTGTATAACTACTTTTGTTGGTTGAAAGTGTTTGATTGAAGCACTCAATCTTAGAGGTATCTTGCAGTAAGAGTCCTTCTGATGTGGCACTAACAGATGTTTTACTAGAATTATGGCAGTCAACAGGTTTTTGGGATACAACTTGGTCTGTTATATCTAAATTTATAGTTCTGGAAACCAGATTAAGGTTAGTTAGCTTGTCTGCACTGCTAGTGAAGCGTTTCACAAACTCTTGTCCCATTTTGAAAGAATCTGTCTGAATATATGAAAGGAAAGAAAACATTATTTAATATAAAATAGGGTTTTATTAACAACTTTGTTAAAAAAAGAGAAAAAACAAATGTCCATCGATGAATAAATGGATAAACAAAATGTGGTATATGCAAACAATGAAATATTATTCAGTCTTAAAAGGAATGAAATTCTGATGCATGCTACTAACATGGATGAACACTGAAGACATAGGACAAATACTGTATGATTCTACTTGTATGAGGTCCCTACAGCAGTAAGAGTCATAGCAACAGAAAGAGAATGGCCATCGTCAGGGACTGGGAGAAGGGAGGAATGGGTAGTTTTGTTCAATGGGTAAGTTTCAGTTTGAGAAGATGAAAAAAATTTGAAGACAGATGGTGGTGATAGTTGCACAACCTGAATATACTTAATGCCACTGAACTATATACTTAAAAATGGTTACAATAGACAATTTTATATTGTATATATTTACCGTAATTTTTTAAAAAAACAAAGAGGTGTCAATTTAACTCAGGACTAAGATAAATGATTTACACTTTATTGCTGTTTCCTATTAAACAGTAAAGGGCATCATTTAGCATTTAGCCTGCATCTTTTTTTTTTCTTATAGCCAAAGTTTTGAAATCCATGATGTGCCTTAACCTTTGAACTTCTAAAAGTCTTACAACTGAGTAATGTAAATTCAAGCACAAGAGGACACCAGCTGTCCCAAATCCCTTTCTCTGGTTGAACTAACAAGAATTAAAAATTATCAAGGAAAAAAAGAAATATTGCCTATTAAAATCTCAAAACTATATTTTAAGTTGTAAATACAATTATGTGTTACTTAATGACAAGACATGTTCCGAGAAATGCATTATTAGGTTGTTACATTGTTGTGTAAACCTAGATGGTATAAGCCAACTACACACCTAAGCTATATGGTATAATGTATTGCTCCTGGGTTACAAACTTGTAAGGCATGTGATTGTACTTAATACTGTAGGTAACTGTAACATAATTGTAAGTATTTGTGTATCTAATCATTGAAAAGATACAGTAGGCCAGGCACAGTGGTTCATGCCTATAATCCCAGCACTTTGGGAGGCCGAGGGGGCGTTGATCGCTTGATGTGAGGAATTCAAGACTAGCCTGATCAACATGGTGAAACTCCATCTCTATCAAAATACAAAAATTAGCCAGGTATGGTGGGGGGCACCTGAAATCCCAGCTACGTGGGAGGCTGAGGCAGGAGAATCACTTGAACCCAGGAGGCAGAGGTTACAGTGAGTAGAGATTGTGCCACTGCACTCCAGTCTGGGAGACAGAGCAAGACTCCATCTCAAAAACAAAAAGAAAAAGAAAAGGTATAGTAAAAATATGGTATTACAATCTTTGGGACCACCTTGTATATATGGTTTGTCATTGACTGAAACATTGTTATGCAGAGCATGATTGTACAATATAATTTAAGTAAAAATAAACTTGTTATGTAGTAACAGGCAAGTCAAAAGAAAAAATGACAGCCTGGGAAAATATATTTGCAACTCATATAACAAATGGCAAATAACTTTAATTTATTAAGAGGTAGAATTGAATGATGTTTTAAAAGCCCAGAACCCCCAAAATGAGCAAAGGATATACACATAAAGGAAACAGAAAACAAAATACAAAAATACAAACTGCTCTTAAATTTATAAAAACTTGCTCAATTTCCCTCATACTTAGTTACTTAAAATTAAAACTATACCATTTTCCCGTGTTGGTTGACAAAAAATAAAAACTCATGTTTGACAACACATGGAATTTGTGAACTTATGGAGAAAGACACATTCCTGCTGGTGGTATAAACTGACACAACTAGAATCAGACAAAATCTAACTACATTACTATACCCCTGACTCAGCAATCATATTTCTAGGAATTTATGTTTATACAACATGTAAGTATATGTGTATCTAATCATAGAAAAGCTAATCAGGTAACCAAATATGAATATACAAAGTTACTCACTGCAGCATCGTTTATTAATAGTGAAAGATGAGAAACAACATAAATATCTATCAACAGGGTACTGATTAATAAATTATGGTACATGAATTCACTTAATAGACTATATTACGTAACAGTAAAAAATAACAAGGAAACACCTGTGCATAGTCCATAAAAAAGAGAAGTGAGGCTGGGCACAGTGGCTCATACCTGTAATCCCAGCATTCTGGGAGGCTGAGGCAGGCAGATTGCTTTAGCCCAGGAGTTTGAGACAAGCCTGAGCAACATTGTGAAATTCCATCTCTACAAAAAATACAAAAATTAGCCAGGTTGCTGGTACATGCCTATAACCCCAGCTACTTAGGAGGCTGACATAGAAGGTGACCGTGCCAGATTCTGTCTCAACAAAAACAAAATACACAGTGTGTTTGCCCCTCGTTTTTTTTTTTTTCCCTTTTTTTTTTTGAGATGGAGTCTCACTCTGTCACCTGGGGTTAGAATACAATGGCACAATCTCGGCCCACTGCAATCTTTGCCTCCTGGGTTCAGGGATTCTTTTGCCTCAGCCTCCCGAGTAGCTGGGATTACAGGCGCCTGCTACTACACCTAGCTAGTTTTTTGTATTTTTAGTAGAGACAGAGGTTTCACCATGATGGTCAGGCTGGTCTTGAACTCCTGACCTTGTGATATGCCCGTCTCAGACTCTCAAAGTGCTGGGATTACAGGTGTGAGCCACTGTGCCCGGCCAATGCCTTTTAATAAATGTAGTAATATTTGCTTTGCATGATTCTGTGTTTTATTTTTAAGTTTTATCTAATCAATCAATCAATCTATCTATCTATCTATCTATCTGTCTATCTATCTATTTTGAGACGGAGTATCGCTCTTGTTACCCAGGCTGGGTTGCAATGGCACCATCTCGGCTCACTGTAACCCTCCGCCTCCTGGGTTCAGGCAATTCTCCTGCCTCAGCCTCCTGAGTAGCTGGGATTACAGGCACGCGCCACCATGCCCAGCTAATTTTTTGTATTTTTAGTAGAGACCATGTTAACCAGGATGGTCTCGATCTCTTGACCTTGGGATCCACCTGCCTCGGCCTCCCAAAGTGCTGGGATTACAGGCGTGAGCCACCGTGCCCGGCCTTATTTATTTATTTTTAAGACAGAGTCTCTATCACCCAGGCTGGAGTGCAGTGGCATGATCTTGGCTCACTGCAACCTCCACCTCCCAGGTTCAAGAGATTCTCCTGTTTTAGCCTCCCTAGTAGCTGGGATTACAGGCACCAGCTACCACATGCGGCTACTTTTTGTATTTTTAGTAGAGATGGGGGATTTATCATGGCCAGGCTGGTCTCGAACTCCTGACCTCAAGTGATCAACCTGCTTTGCCTCCCGAGGTGCTGGGATTACAGGCGTGAGCCACCACACCTGGGCAAAAATGAAAAAATTTTAAAAGTAAAAAAAAGTATGTACAGCTATATTTTTAAAAATTTGCCCTTCTCTTTAAAAACCTGAATCATTAAATATACAATCAACTCCCCCCACCACCAATGTTGGGTGAAAAGTGAAATACTTACTCCGCAGTATTCAAGCATGTGAATAATTTCTTCTTCATAAACTGTCTGGGTATAATACTGCTTTTCCAGCTCCCTCCAATTAATTGATTTACTCAACACACCCTGAAATAATAAGCTAAATTAAGATTAAACCACATCATAAGCAATTTGCCCAATACTTTTATTCTTATTACTGTGTGGAAAAGAGTTAACATAGCAGGCTGGAGACTGTCTATCCTTTTTTTTTTTTTTAAGAGACAAAGTCTCTCATTCTGTGGCCTAGGCTGGAGTGCAATGGCACCATCTCAGCTTACTGCAACCTCTACCTTCTGGGTTCAAGTGATTCTCCTGTCTCAGCCTCCCAAGCAGCTGGGACTACAGGCAAGTGCCACCACACCTGGCTAATTTTTATATTTTTAGTAGAGACAGAGTTTCATCATGTTGTCCATGCTGGTCTTGAACTCCTGACCTCAGGTGATCCACTCACCTCGGCCTCCCAAAGTGCTGGGATTACAGGTGTGAGCTGTCCCACTTGGCCCAAGACTGCCTATCTTTAGCCTGCTTGTAAGGTTGGCCCTTAGCTGGAGTCTGGGAACTTGGCCAGTAAATAGGTTTCTATACTTACATAAAACTTTCCCTAAATGATAAGAGTGGGTCACTATGCTTAAACTGCTTATATAAACAATGCCGTTTCTGCTGCACACCTGCTTTCCTTCTGAAATTTTGGTGCATGCTGGGCAAAAGTTATCTAAGTCACTAACCCCTGATAAAAACTCTGGACTGCTAGGCTCAGGGGAGCTTCACTGATGAACAGCACTTTGCACTTATTATCAATAATTATTGCTGAAAGAATTAAACATGAACTGTAACAGTCCACTGGGAGAGGACTCTTGGAAGCTTGTTCCTGGTTTCCTTCAGACTCTGCCTCATGCATTTTTCCTTTTGTTCACTGTGTTGTATTTTTTTTGCTGTAGTTAAGCCTTAGTCATGATTATGACTATATCCTGAGTGCTATGATTCTTTCTATGAATCACCAAAGCTGATGGTGGTTTTGGGGACTTCCAAAACAATTACCTCTAATTATATATAGCTACCTAATATTAATTACAATTAAATTACCGTAGTGAAGACCCCAGATGCTGTGGACCAAGACAGGCATGGAATCAATGGCATGGGCTTAGGCCAGTTGGATACCGCTAAGGAAGCCATCTGTAATGTAACAGTTTAGAGAGCTTGTGTTTAGAGTTTCTATTCATTAAAATAAAAAATATTTAATATTAAGAAGTATTCCGTGCAGTAAGTAGTTGGTTAGATAAACACAAAGTCTGCAAACATTAGTGAGAATGCCTAGCAACCTCATTAAACTTCCCAAATCATTAATTCAACAACATTTAATTTTTCCCTTAGAAAGCAACAAAATGTAATAGAAAACTTAAACCTCAAGACCCTTCACTGAGAGCCACTTTTTACTGTGTAAATATGAAGCAAAGATGCTGAGACGTAGATGCTGGGCAGCAGAGTAAGCACACTCATTACTTAAGTGACTTGCTCAGATACAGCAAAATCACAACTATAAAACATCAGACCATTGAGGCTGACTGAGTATGCAAAGAATTTGGTGAACTACAAAGCAGATTATATAACAGATATAAAATAATATAATATGTGTTTAGAGAAGGAAAAATTTACTCTCTCTTTTGGAGAAGGGAGTACTTTATCTTCTGGAAAAGTAACTTTCCCTTCTGGGTTGGAGGAATCAGAAGGGAAAGGCAGGCTTCACGGAATGGCTGAGTCTTGCAGAGGAATGAAAGATAGGGTCTTATCTTCCACAGAAAGAAATCAGTATGATCAAAGGCAGTAAGGTGAGAATGCACAGGGTCTCATAGGGAAACAGCCAATGTACTTTAGTTGGGATGGTCAATAGGCACATGTGGCCAATGGAGTGAGGGAGATAAGAAGGGCTAGAAAGATTGATCAGGATCAGATGAGAGGTTCTTTGTTCTATAGATAATGGGAAATTAATAAAGAGAATTGAGTAAAGGAGTAGTATTGTCAAAGAAATGATTCAAAAAAGGTAACATGATAGTAGTTTACAGGATTGAGTAGAGAAGGGGAGAGCTGAGGTAGGAAGACCAGTTAATAGGCAGTAATCCAGGTGAAAGTTATAAGAACCTGTCCTAGGTGTTAACAATGGAAACACTACTAGATAGGAAAATAAATCCTTTTCCGTCTTCTGTTTCACTGTCAGGTGGTTGTTTTGAATTTAAGTTTTTGAACTTAATTTTCTAATTCAAGTGACATAGAGAACCTTCATATTATCATTATTATTATTTTGAGATAGAATCTTGTTTCTGTCTAGATCATCTAATCTGGAGTGCAGTGGCACGATCACAGCTCGTTGCAGTCTCAAACTCTGTGGCTCAAGTGATCCTCCCACCTGAGACTCCTGAATACCCACAATTACAGAGATGTACCACCATGCCTGGCTAATTATTTAAACAATTTTTTTGTAGAGACAGGGTCTCACTATATTGCCTGGGTTGGGGTATGATTAATTTTTAGGCCAGTGCAATGACTCACATATATAATCCCAGCACTTTGGGAGGCTAAGCTGTGTGGATTACTTGAGCTCACACAAAAACAAAATAATAATAATTTTTTAAAAATGTTCTGAGTGACTAGTATGTGCCAAGTAATAAATCAGAGCATATTCCTGACCTTCAATATTCCAACTGCTTCATGGAGAAAACAGACTGCTAAACAAGTCAGTACAGTACAGTACAGTACAGTAAAAAGTTACTGAGAGTTTGACGTGCAGTCTGGAGGTAAGGCTGGGTGTCACTGATGAAACAGAAGGGTAAGCTGTTACTCAGCTAGCTGTAGGAGAATAAGGGAGCACTAGAGGGATGCTAGCATGTGACACAGCTGGAGCCCAGTACATATGCAAGCTTTTGGCAGGTTTTGAACAAGACAGAACAAAGATTAGATTTAGAAAGATAACTGTAGTTATGGTGTAGAGGAGAAATGGTTAAGAAAAAGATTAATAAGGCCGGGTGCGGTGGCTCACGCCTGTAATCCAAGCACTTTGGAGGCCAAGGCGGGTGGATCACCTGAGGTCAGGAGTTCAAGACCAGTCTGACCAACATGGTGAAATCCTGTCTTAAAAAAAAAGGTTTGGCCAGGCACGGTGGCTCATGCCTGTAATCCTAGCACTTTGGGAGGCCGAGGTGGGTGAATCACCTGAGGTCAGAAGTTCAAGACCAGCCTGGCCATCATGGTGAAACCCCATCTTAAAAAAAAAAATTAAAAAAAAAAAAAAAAATATATATATATATATACATAAAAAGATTAATAAGAGAAAAGACTAGAGACAGAGAAAGCAATTAGGAATACATTTTAGTACACTCTAAAAGGCCGACAAAGTAAAGTTCGTGGTGGTACTAGGGAGATAGATAAATGGAAAGTATTTTCCAATTCAGGTATTTTGACCAATGTAACAGCAAAATTGGGCATTTATACTTGAGACTTGAAAAGTTAAATTTTATATTTTTAAATAAAATATTAAATCTACTATCTGAGATACAACTGTGGAGTACAATCAATGTCTATATAAATCATACAAAAAATTAACATCACTACTTCATAATTGGATCAAAGCTTGGAATCTGTGTCTGCTTCCTACTTTTACCAAAACGAATTCTGTTCCTAAAGCGAATTTTTTAAATAACCAGGTTCTCTAGATCTTATAAACTTAAACATAATTAAATGTAAGCAGAAATAAAAAGGCTTACGTGTCCTCCCATGGATATTCCAGTCATTCCTAAAGGGCCATAACCTTCCCTCTCTAGCCAGTGCAACAGGGCTGCAGATTCTAAAACAAGAGCTCCTCCCATCACAAAAAGGTCAGACACATTTTTTAAGCTGGACCTTCTAGACTCACAAAACAAAATAGAAAATGATTATTTTATGTATTTACATGCTAATATATGCAAACTTACAGACTTCATGTATTTCTTTTAAAGGACCAGATAGTTAAGTCAAACAACGTAATAAATTGGAATTAAGGCCAGGCATGGTGGCTCATGCCTGTAATCCCAGCACTTTGGGAGGCTGAGGTGGGTGGATGAGGTCATGAGTTCAAGACCAGCCTGGGCAACATGGTGAAACCTTGTCTTTACTAAAAATACAACAATTAGCAGGGCATGGTAGTGCATGCCTGTGATCCTAGCTATGCGAAAAACTGAGGCACAATAATTGCTTGAACCCAGGAGGCAGAGGCTGCAGTGGGCCGAGATTGTGCCACTGCACTTCAGCCGAGGTAACAGAGTGAGACCCTGTCTCAAAAAGAGAAAAAAAATGGAATCAGACAGCTGCTAACATTGTTCTACATATCCAATCACCTAAAACTTAATCAAAAAATGTTCCTGTTCTACAGCACATAATCTTTACTGAAATTATTAGAATAGAATTTAAAGCATAACTTTTTTTTTTTAATCTGAGATGGAGTCTTGCTCTGTTGCCCAGGCTAGAGTGCAGTAGCATCTCATTTCACTGCAGTGTCCACCTCCTTGGTTCAAACAATTCTCCTGTCTCAGCTTCCCGAGTAGCTGGGAATACAGGCGTGCGCCACCACACCTGGCTAATTTTTGTATTTTTAGCAGAGACAGGGCTTCACTATGTTGGCCAGCCTGGTCTTGAACTCCTGAGCTCAAGTGATGGGCCTGCCTTGGCCTCCCAAAGTGCTGGGATTACAGGCTTGAGCCACCGTGTCCAGCCCAAAATTTTCTTTCTTTTTGTTTTGAGACAAGGTCTCACTCTCATTGCCCAGGCTGTAGTAAAGTGGCTTGATCATGGCTCACAGTAGCCTTGTCTTTCCGGGCTCAGGGGATTCTCCCACCTCAGGCTCCTGAGTAGCTGGGACTACATGTATGCACCACTATGCCTGGCTAATTTTTTTTTTTTTTTTTTTTTTTTTTGAGATGGAGCTTTGCTCTTGTCACCCAGGCTGGAATGCAATGGTGCAATCTTGGCTCACTGCAACCTCTGCCTTCTGGGTTCAAGCGATTCTCCTGCCTCAACCTCAAGTAGTTGTAATTACAGGTGTCCACACCATGCCCAGCTAACTTTTGTATTTTTAGTAGAGATGGGGTTTCACCATGTTGGCCAGGCTGGTCCAGAACTCCTGACCTCAGGTGACCCATCAGCCTCAGCCTTTCAAAGTGCTGGGATTACAGGTGTGAGCCACTGCGCCCCGCCTTTTTTTTTTTTTGGTATATTTTGTAGAGGCAGGGTTTTGCCATATTGGCCAGGGTGATCTTAAACTTCTGGACTCACACAATCTGCCCACCTCAGCCTTCCAAAGTGCTGGGATTATAGGTGTAAGCCACCGCACCCAGCCAGCAAGCCATTTCTTACTATGAATTGTGAAAAATCAAACAAATACATTGAGCCATTATTAAATTTCTTGAGAATGCAGTATGTGATAGAATATTTTATAAACATTATGATTCTCACAACAATTCTACATGGAAGAAATTACATAGTATTCCCATTTTATGACTGAAGTAATTAGTAAATAACATGTTACAATTCTAACCTATGTCTGTATGACTTCAAAGTCAGTCTTTCTATTAAACCCTGGCTGTCTCTCAAAGGACCTCAGTAAACTCTTTGTGGTTTTTAACCAATTTATGGATAAGGTAAAAATCACATACCTAATTCTGAATTCTGGGCTTGGTTCCAGAGTGAAAATTCTTGAACTACTTAGCTTGGCCTTTAATTTTTCTTTCTTTTTTTTTTTTTTGAGACAGTCTTGCTCTCGTCAGGCTGGAGTACAGTGGCATGATCTTGGCTCACTGCAACCTCCGACTCCTGGGTTCAGCTAATTTTTGTATTTATTTTTTTTTTTACTAGAGACAGGGTTTCACTGTGTTGGCCAGGATGGCCTCGATCTCTTGACCTTGTGATCCACCCACCTTCGCCTCCCAAAGTGCTGAAATTACAGGCATGAGCCAGTGTGCCTGGGTAGCCTTTAATTTTTCATAAGGCTTCACAAAGTTCATTATAAACTATCAAGGTTCATTCTAAACTATTCTTCATGGTATACATATGTGCCTCTGCCCCATCCCACTTTCACCTATACTTCTTTCATGCCATGACCATATAGAACATGGGACTTCCAAATCTACCTCTCTAGCACTTTCCAACTGCCTATTTGACTTCTCCACCTGCAGGTTTAACCAAGATTACAGATTTGACACATCTTTTTTTTTTTTGAGTTGGAGTTTTGCTCTTGTTGCCCAGGTTGTGGCACGATCTCGCCTCACTGCAACCTCCGCCTCCCAGGTTCAAGTGATTCTCCTACCTCAGCCTCCCGAGTAGCAGGGATTACAGGCATGTGCCACCATGCCTGGCTAAAGTTTTTGTCCTTTAGTAGAGGGGTTTCTCCACGTTGGTCAGGCTTGTCTCAAACTCCTGACCTCAGATGATCCTCCTGCCTTGGCCTCCCAAAGTGCTGGGATTACAGGCATAAGCCACTGGGCCCAGTCTCAAATTTGACACATCTAAGTCAGAACTTTTGATTTCTTTCCCACAACATCCAATTCATAAACAACTCCTATCATTTCAACTACTACATAATATCTTGAATCCAAGAAAACTTCTTTCCATTTCCACTACCACCTAGTTATACTAGTTACTACTGTTTCTTGGATCATTGAGCTTCCTATTTGTTTTCTCTGCTGCTATTCTTGCCCCAGTAAACCAAAGTAGGTCTTTAAAAATATAAATCAGGCAACTCATTTCCTTAAAGTCCTCTAGACACTTCCCATTGCACTCTCAGATCATTCACATTCAAAGTATGATGGCCCTTCATCATGTGGTCCTTGTCTTTCCTTTTTTTTTTTTTTTGAGACAGAGTCTTGCTCTGTTGTCCAGGTTGGAGTGCAGTGGCGTGATATCGGCTCACTGCAACCTCTGCCTCCTGGGTTCAACCGATTCTCCCGCCTTGGCCTCCCGAGTAGCAGGGACTACAGGTGTGAACCACCATGCCTGGCTAATTTTTGTTTTTTTTTTAGTAGAGAGAAGGTTTTACTATGTTGGTCAGGCTGGTTTCGAACTCCTGACCCCAACTGATCCACCCACCTCAGCCTCCAAAGTGCTGGGATTACAGGCGTGAGCCACTGCACCCGGCCCTTGCCTATCTTTCTGACCTCATCTTGTACTACTCTCCCCTCCTGATGCTTTCATTGGGCTTTTCATTTACTTTTCCTTCTCAGTGGCTGATCTTCTTTCAAGTCTTCCTGCAGGTGGCTCCTTCTCATTACATCATGTTCTCATATATAATACTGTTACTAAACTGCACACCATATTACTCTTTATACAGTTGCCCTGCTTTCTTTCTTTCTTTTTTTTTTTTTTAATTTTTTATTGGATTTTAGGTTTTGGGGTACATGAGCAGAGCATGCAAGACAGTTGCGTAGGAACACACATGGCAGTGTGCTTTTCTTTCCTTCTCCCCTTCACCCACATTTGGCATTTCTCCCCAGGCTATCCCTCCCTACCTCCCCCTCCCACTGGCCCTCCCCTTTTTCCCCCAATAGACCCCAGTGTTTAGTACTCCCCTTTCTGTGTCCATGTGTTCTCATTTTTCATCACCCGCCTATGAGTGAGAATATGCGGTGTTTCATTTTCTGTTCTTGTGTCAGTTTGCTGAGGATGATGTTCTCCAGATTCATCCATGTCCCTACAAACGAAACAACCTCATCGTTTCTGATTGCTGCATAATATTCCATGGTGTATATGTGCCACATTTTTCCAATCCAGTCTATTATCAATGGGCATTTGGGTTGATTCCAGGTCTTTGCTATTGTAAACAGTGCTGCAATGAACATTCGTGTACATGTGTCCTTATAGTAGAACGATTTATAATCTTTTGGATATATACCCAGTAATGGGATTGCTGGATCAAATGGAATTTCTATTTCTAAGGCCTTGAGGAATCGCCACACTGTCTTCCACAATGGTTGAACTAATTTACACTCCCACCAACAGTGTAAAAGTGTTCCTTTTTCTCCACATACTCTCCAACATCTGTTGTCTCCAGATTTTTTAATGATCGCCATTCTAACTGGCGTGAGATGGTATCTCAATGTGGTTTTGATTTGCATCTCTCTGATGACCAGTGACGATGAGCATTTTGTCATATGATTGTTGGCCTCATATATGTCTTCTTTCGTAAAGTGTCTGTTCATATCCTTTGCCCACTTTTGAATGGGGTTGTTTGATTTTTTCCTGTAAATCCGTTTGAGTTCTTTGTAAATTCTGGATATCAGCCCTTTGTCAGATGGGTAAACTGCAAAAATTTTTTCCCAATCTGTTGGTTGCCGATCCACTCTAGTGACTGTTTCTTTTGCCGTGCAGAAGCTGTGGAGTTTCATTAGGTCCCATGTGTCTGTTTTGGCTTTTGTTGCCAATGCTTTTGGTGTTTTGTTCATGAAGTCCTTGCCTACTCCTATGTCCTGGATAGTTTTGCCTAGATTTCCTTCTAGGGTTTTTATCGTGCCAGGTCTTATGTTTAAGTCTTTAATCCATCTGGAGTTAATTTTAGTGTAAGGTGTCAGGAAGGGGTCCAGTTTCTGCTTTCTGCACATGGCTAGCCAGTTTTCCCAACACCATTTGTTAAACAGGGAATCCTTTCCCCCTTGCTTTTGTCAGGTTTATCAAAGATTGTATAGTTGTAGATATGTTGTGTTGCCTCCGGTGCCTCTGTTTTGTTCCATTGGTCTACATCTCTGTTTTGGTACCAGTACCATGCTGTTTTGATTACTGTAGCCTTGTAGTATAGTTTGAAATCCGGTAGTGTGATGCCCCCCGCTGTGTTCTTTTTGCTTAGAATTGACTTGGCTATGCAGGCTCTCTTTTGGTTCCAT